GTCCAAGACTGGTGGTGGATTCCAGGGCCAGCAAACATCGCAGATATCATCACTAGAGGGGCCAGTCCAGATGCCCTAACTGAGGACTCCGAGTGGCAGTCGGGTCCAAAGTTCCTCCAACTTCCTGACGATGAGTGGCCAAAGAAATCCGCCAGAGACGTCGCAGCCCAAGCTCGAGACAAAGTCACAAGGATCCAGAAAAAAACATTCGTAGCACTACTCTCCAGATGTCGCCTGAAAACGGCACAAAATCCAGCCCAGCTAGAGTATGAAAGACCACCAGCAGGAGCAGCAGTCCGGCATCTAGTCGATGGAAAGCACTTCAGCAACCTGAGAAGGCTGATTGGGACTGTGGCTTGGATCTGGAGAGCAGCTAAAAAGTTCTTAAGTGCCGAAACCAGAGACCAAGAAAAGTGGGAGGCAGTACCATCCTCGGGTATCCTTACAGTCAGAGAGAGACGGGACGTGTTTCGAGACCTTTGCCTAGCAGCACAAGAGGGCGTCAACTTCCCAGGCACCACAACAGACAGATTAGTCGTCTACAGAGACCAAACAAGTGGACTTCTAGTTTGTGGTGGGAGGATCCAGACCTTCAAAGAAGACCGCAGAGCTGTTCCCCTCCTACCTTTCCAAGCCTGGTTATCTACCCTGCTAGCCAGAGAAGCACACAGTAAGGGACATGAAGGTGTGGCGGGAACCCTGCTGCGGATGAGGATAAAGGCGTGGGTCATCAGAGGAAGGGTCATTGCCCAAAAAGTCGTTGACAAGTGTATCGTCTGCAAGAAAGCAAAAGCAAGAACCTGCAAGCAAATAATGGGAAACTTACCTGATGAGAGGTCTAGTCCTGCTGCACCATTCGAGTTTACGCCGTTGACCTGTTTGGACCTTACCATGTGAAGGATGATGTCAAAAAGAGAGTGACCATGAAAGTATGGGGCGTCGTGTTTGCTGTATGTCCAGCCGAGCCATTCATGTCGAGCTGGCAAACACACTATCAACAGAGAGCTTCCTGCTTACCTACCAGAGATTCACCGCTGTCCGAGGCCATCCCCGTAAAATCTGGTCTGATCCTGGTACAAACTTTGTCGGAGCGAGACCTGTCCTAAAAGAGATGTACACTTACCTGAATCAACAGAGCAAAGAGTCACTTGAAGAGTATGCTGCCAAAAATGAGACGACCTGGATGTGGAAAATCCTCCCGGCCGATTCACCTCACCGAAACGGAGCCGCCGAAGCTGCTGTCAGAGTCACCAAGAGAGCCCTCCAAAGCCTTGGCAATGTAGAAGGTCTTACCTTCAGTGAGTTCCTGACAGTGCTCCAGCTAGCTGCTAATCTTGCCAATGAGAGACCCATTGACGCCAGAGTCCAAAGCCGAGAAGAGCGCATCCAGTACATCACGCCGAACAACTTATTGCTTGGTCGAGCTACACAAAGTGGAGACTTCAAAACTGTCGACTACACCACCTACCCATTCAAGAGGCTCAAAGAAGTGCAAACGATAGTAAACAACTTCTGGAAGTCCTGGAGCCAACTTGCTGGCCCGAACCTGTTCATTCGCAGTAAGTGGCATACTGCTGAAAGGAACGTTACCATTGGAGACATAGTTTGGCTCTGCGACCAAAATGCACTGAGAGGGCAGTTCAGGCTTGCAAGAGTCATCGGCGCAAATCCTGATTTCAGAGGTGTCGTCCGAGATGTTCATGTGAGAGTCTCCCCAAGTTCCAGCATCTCTGTGAGAAGCTCAAGACCTGGTGCCGCAGATCCTGGATCAAGTACCATACTGCATCGGGACGTCCGGCGCCTTGTGGTCCTCATACCATGGGAGGATCAAGTCAGAGACCAGCCCACCTGAGAGTACGATCTTTCCAGGCGCCGCCACGTAAAGATCGAGTGGGAGGTGTCGCGCTGATCTGGCAGAGGTGTGCCTGTCTCCCGTGTGCCCGCCTCCTCCTGCATGCCGTCTCACCTGCGTGCCGCCCCGCTCTGCATCGGCAGCCGCGTGTGACCGTGCGTGCGCGCCCTGGCGCACCCTCGACCAGGTGAATTAGATTGAGCAATCAGCAGCTCGCACACACTTCAATCAGCGGGAGCATATAACGCAGTCATTTGGCTGGTGGAAAGGGACTGACACGACGGAATGAGCAGCACACATCCACTGCGGGAAATGAGACTTTTGATTCTGACGGGCTGTCAGTAAGCTCACTTGAATGTTGTTTAAATCTTTTCTGTTTAGGTGTTAATATGGGTGTGTTAAAGTTGTCGCTGCATGGTTGAAGAGAGGGAGAAACTATGTTCAAATGCATGGATATATATGGTTAAAATGTGTGGGTTTTCTACCTAATTTGTGTAAAAGAATGCTTAAATAGTAAGCCAAAATTGTTTTGTTAAAGATTAATTAAAATGCATAATTAGTTTGGTGAAATGTGAAGAATAATATTGAATTTAAATATACTTACCGTTTTTGAAATATTTACCTTGACTTGTGTTTACTGTGGAAATACCTGTTTATTCAAAATGCTTTTTATTTCTGTGTTTAAAGGTTTTTCACCTATACTGTTCAACTCCTGTTCAATTATTCAAATAAATTATTTTGAGTGAAATCCGAAGTCTGGTCCTTGTCAAGTGTGGACACCTTGCAGTTAAAAGAAACACTTGACAGTGAAAAACCAATTCTCTTCAACCTATATATCAATGAATTAGCAAACCAATTAGAGAGTTCCATGGCACCTGGCCTCCTCCTGAACGACACAGAGATGAGAGGTCTGCTGTATGCAGATGACTTAGTGTTGCTCTCACCTACTAAAGAAGGTTTGCAGCAGCACCTTAATCTCCTGCAGAGATTCTGTCAGACCTGACAGTAAACACAGCAAAGACTAAGATAATGATCTTTCAGAAACAATACAGAAATCAGGTTACACACAATTTCTATTTAGACACCACTAAATTACAACACACAAAAAACTATACTTACCTTGGCCTCAACATTACATACACAGGGAACTTCAACATGGCTGTGAAAGATCTGAGGGACAAAGCAAGGAGAGCTTTCTATACAATAAAAAGACACATTATAATATATTCCAATTGAAATTTTCCAATTTGTACTAGAACCAATAATTCTATATGGTAGCAAAATCTGGGGGCCAAAACTTAATAATGAAATCAATCATAGAATCTTTCCATACTGAGTTCTGTAAGAGCAACCTGCAGGTGCAGAGAAAGACACCAAATAACCTGTGCAGAGCAGAGCTCGGCCAATACGCCCTCCTACTAAAAATACAGAAAAGATCACTTAAATTTTACAATCACTTAAAATCAGTTAACCCCCAGACATCACCACAAAGCCCTAACATACCAGGAGCTGAAACCAGAGAAGAGTCCCCTCAGCCAGATGGTCCTGAGGCTCTCTGCAGTAACAAGTCCCCAACAGAATCAAGACAGCAACACCAACTCAAGCAGACCAAACCAAATTATCAGCAAGCAGAAAGAAAAATGTATTGAATACTGGAAAGAAACGACCAAAACACAAAGTAAATTACAATGTTATCTGACCCTAAAAAGAGAATTCACACTGGCAAATTACCTGAGTACAATAAAATGTCCCAAATTAAGAAAAATGTTGACAACAAACAGACTGAGTGAACACAGCCTGGCCATAGAAAAGGGTCGCCAGAGACAGAGCTGGCTACCACAAGAGGAGAGACTCTGCTTGTGACAGGGGACAGGTAGAGACAGAGCTGCACTTTCTAACCTCATGCCCTAAATATAAAACACTTGACAAAAACACTTTTTTATTTCCCAAATATACCCCAAATTCAAATTCATATCAGACACAAAGAAACTCCCCTGTTTACTGGGAGAAATACCCAAATGCAAAATAATTGCTGCAAAATATGTCTCCTCATGCCATGAAGTGAGGACAACCAGTGGAACCTCAGACTAACAAATAATTGTACAGATTTTCAAATTATTATTTGATCATTTGATATTTTAGTAATTGTTTTGTTTTTACATTTGATACTGGTTTCTTTTTTTTTTTAATCAATTAATTCTTTAAAAAAAATTTTGTCTATTAATATATACACACATTACTGTTTCATTTATTTATTTTATTTTATTTTTTTATATATTTTTTATTTTTTAATACACACACACACACACTTACCGTTTGATTATTTATTTTATTTTAATATATATATATTTTTAACACACACGCTTACTGTTTATATATTTATTTTTAATATATATTTATTTAACACACACACGCTTACTGTTTTGTTTATTTATTTTATTTTTAATATATATTTTTTAACACACGCTTACTGTTTTATTTATTTATTTTATTTAAATTTTTAATATTTCTTTTTTTCCCTTTTTTAAACACACATACGCTTTGATTACTTTATATATAATAATATATATTTACTTTACTTTAATTACTTGTTAAATGTGTGGGGCTGATTGTTCTTATGTTGTATATATGATGCTTTGGCATCATTTTTATTACATTCATGCCAATAAAGCTAATTTGAATTGAATTGAATTGGTGCCTGACGATTAAGAGCTTTGTATGTGAGCAGAAGGATTTTAAATTATATTCTAGATTTTACAGGAAGCCAGTGCAGCGATTCTAATACAGGAGAAATATGATCTCTTTTCCTGGTTCTTGTCATTACACGTGGCGCAACATTCTGGATGAGCTGAAGAGTCTTAATGAGTCTTGGACTTATTCGAACACACTGATAATAAAGAATTGCAGTAATCCAACCTAGAAGTGACAAATGCGTCGACTAATTTTTCCGCATAATTTTGAGACAGGATGTTCCTGATTTTTGGAATGTTATGTAGGCTTCAGTTATCTCAAAACAAAAGAAGAAGAAGAAAAACTGAGACAGTTATTAGTCATTAAATACAACAATGAATGTCACAGCTGTATATTTCAGAACATACTGCAGGAACAAAAGCAAATATGAAGAACAACAGTTTTGTCGTTTATCATTCACAGCTTTATTTTACATGAACATAACATTTAAAGAAACACATCAACAATGCTGAACTCAGAGAATGATCTAAAACACACACACTTATTCTTAGTCTTTAGACTAAAATTAGCTCCATCAACGTCAGGACGGTGCAAACCATCATAGACATAGAACCAATGATGGGAGTAGATGAGTCTGGAGCAGAAGAAAAAAAAAACATTACTTTTCCATTTGCAATCACACATCAGTACTGACAATTTAGAGAGCTGTGAGATAGAGCTCAATTACCACGCAGTGTGTGGAGCGCAGAGGTTTCTAAACCAGTGACAGCATTTTGGGCGGTACAGGTGTAGCTCCCCAGGTGCATCTCCTCCATCTCATGGATGTAGTGCAGGGGCCCGTACATCTTCATGTGTTTGAACGTCCAGAAGAAAGTTGCCTTTGGTAGGGAGTCAGCAGAGCAGCTAAGAGTGACACTCTCTTCAAGTTCTGCTCCTATTGGCCTCTGAATGATTGTTGGTTTGTCAGGTCCATCTGAACATTTGAGGAAGAGGATGAAGGAGATCATTAGGAAGATAATAATTATGATGAGACTGAAATAGTTAGCCTTTTCTATGCACTTAAGTAATGATAAGCGAATATTCAAAATCAGGAAATGTGTAATTGAAAATACTCACAATAGACTTTCAGTCTGCAGTTAGCTGTATCAAAACTGAAATCATTGCTGACATTACAAAGAATCTCTCCAGTGTCTCTCCTGTCGACAGGGCTGATAGACAACACTCTGCTCTTGCTGTCGTAAAAGCTGAATCCCTCTCCAGAAACCAAAGGTCGGCCGTCTTTCATCAACACTCTGTTGGACACAAAGCCGTCAGCATTGCAGGTTAGGTTCACAGAGGTTTTACCTTCTATTACGTTTTCTGTGGGGCAGGCCATAGTGGGTCTTGACACTTTGGCTGTGCACAAAAAATGTATACAAACACAAGAGACTTGTTGACACCACACCTAAGCAACATTCATTGTGCATTCTTAAAACAGACATCTTAGCAGTGCAGTATTACAGTAAAATAAATATGTTGATACTACAAAGCATTGTTTTCAGTTCCTTCCTAACATTAAAAACAGTGTCAGATAAATCTATCTTACTCACTCAGCACCTCCAGTTTGACAGTTCCTTGAATCTGCTCCGCTCCATATGGGATGATGATAGTTCATATTCGCCGCTGTCTTTTTCAGTCAGGTTCATAAGCACCAGAGATCCAGTAGACTTTTCTAGGACGATCCTGCTCTCATAGCCTTGTCCGACTACATCTACACTGGTTGAGGTTATTACATTGGTGGTCCCATTGAAGCTCCAAGTTAATGCCAGAAACGGTTCAGCTGTTGGTTTTACAGATGTTTTAAAGGCCACGCTCTCCCCTGCTGCTCCACGGAGGGAGTCAACAGTGAGTACACCAGCTCCATAGCACAGACCTACTGAAATATGAACATAGTTAACATTTCACAACCTGTAGTTCTATTGATAAAGAACTTTTAATACATATCTTACCTGAGGAGAGGAACACAAGTATGGTTGACCTGAGAAACGTATAGTTCATGATTTGGTTGGACCTCTTCTAATGTTATCTGACCTTCTGCTGTCTGTGTTTGTGCAACAATAGAATAAAAGCTAAGATTATCTGCAATAAATGAAACGTCATCAAGACGTCCACAGGCTTGACATGCTTAATTATTACCTTCATCAACCCTTTGTTATCGTGGCTCTTCAAACTGCATGTTCGGAAAACCAGAAATGATGCTTCTTATTTACTATTACACACAGTTTGTTTACTTAGTTGATAATGTGAGAGGTATTAGGGACTAGACTCTAAAGCCATGCTAGTAGCTCTGTGATGCAGCTCTGTTGTATGTAGGCATAGCAGTGCTTTGAGCTAAATGTTAATCAGCATACTAACATGCAGAAGAAGAAGAATACATACTTTATTCATCACACAAGGGGAAATTCAATATTCTCACTCTGGTGTTATTATTGTCATTAGTATACACACACAGGTCTGAAATACACACACATGCAACAACACATGGAGAGATGTCAGAGTGACAGGGCTGCTCCTCAGTGCGGCGCCCCGAGCAGCTGAGTGTACAGGGGCTTGCTCTGAACAACAATGTTAACACGATGACAATAAATTTAGCACTTTTCAAAACAAAGTTATAAAGTGTTTCGAATGAACCAGGATAGACACATGCAATTAGGAAATCAGAGAATTATATAACCCAAAAAACAAAATACCACACTGGGTGGTTCTATTTAAAAACTCTTCACAAATTATATGGACATTAACTTTGCTTTATGCACTCCTATAAAATTAATATGTAATTTTAAAGATAATATTTAACTTAAGATAAAAAGTCTGATTGTGCCTAAAACTGTTGCTTAATTCCTGAGAGTAAAATATACAGGACAATATCCTGCTCAGTAAATTACTTCAATACCACTTTGCTCCATGTCTTTTATCCACCAGACTGCCAGAAGTTAGACCACAAAAAGGCACGGATATCGGCGGTGCGGGGCGGCAGAGTGGTGGGGGAAGGGGATTACGGTAGCAATCTTTACTCATTACCATTGACGGCAACGTTGCCTTGAATGATTGCTTTAAAAGTTGCTCTGTGTATCATCAGCTTTATATTTAAAGACTGTTACATATTCAGTTGCTGTAAAATCACATGACAGAGAAAGACTTAACATTTTGTGTCGCAGTTTTCAAAATATATTGATGTATATTGTTAATTAGCATAATGTCTTATCCCAACCCAATATTCTTCCATTAATTTACAAAGTTGAGACACAATAAAGAACAGCAAAATAAAAGCAAAAATTAGAAATACTCTGTAGAAATGCAAAAAGTACAAAAATAATGCAAACACACCAGAAATGGTGCAAGGAAAATAACCACTTTCAACTAAATATATTATGTTTTAAATGTAAAAGGACTACAGCTTACTGGAGCTTTTTACTGTGTTTACACTCTTTATTTTGGGTTTGAAGACATTTCACTCTCACAAACACTGTTTACAGCAGATATTTACTATGATAAACCCAATGCATATGCTACCTGCTAGAGAAGGAATATTTAGTGAGCAGAAATGCTACTGTTATACTGTACATATGGATAAATGGCAAATGTTTGCTAACACATTAGCTATAAAAAACAATAATGTGATAATATATCAGGGCTGCTATGTGTCATTATGTTGTGCTGCCTACAAGTGTCCAAAAAGTCACTTAATTCAACTTTAAGCACATTTATGTGTCTGTCAACAAGACTTTGAAATACACTGTAATTCTGTTACTGTTACGTTTTGCTGTGTTGTAAATTATTTATCTAAAAGAAACATAACCCAAACACAGAAGAAACAGTATGAATTCTAAAACAAAACAACAACATTGGTGTCTCTTCTTTTCTTGGTGCAGGTGAAAACATTTTTGTTTTCTGATCATCTGCAGGACAAAAATGTAAACAACTGATTTATTAGAGAAATAGAAAATATAGATATATAAATAGAAATTAGAGAGTTGCTGTTTTGATCCAAACAGAGTTAAACTGATTTCTACAGAAACAAAACCTCTTTGTGCGTCTCCCTTCAAAATACATTTAGGCCTTTTCACTAAATAAGTTTATATGTTCTCATATACCTCTGAAGTGTTCTCATACATATGTTCTTCTCATTCTAGGCAAAAAAAGTAGCTTTGTTACAGTACATTTCATAACTCAATATTTATGATTGTGATTCTTTCAGTTATTAAGTATTTATTTATGACTGTGTTTGTTTAGCTCAGTTGGTAAGGTGCAGGACTCTCACTTAGATGGTTGTGAGACTAATCCCATGTTCGGTTAAATCCCGACCCCCTCTTTAACAAATTGATTATGAACTGTTTCACATGCTCATAATAAAGCATGTGTGGCAGTGTGTATGTTCCGCATCCATCAACCCACAGATGCTTTTTTAGTATCTTCAGGCAGAGGACATTTAGTGGAATCATGTTCTCTTTCAAACATTCGCACGGTATCTCACTATGGGGTACGCCCCTTTGCGTAGTCCTCAGAAGGCCAACACGCCAGCCACTACTGGCAGTTGTGACGACTGCATTAGGAGGAGTGAGGTCCTCCCCCAATAAGAGGGATGATGCGGCGTCATAAGCTCATTCAAAAACCTCTTCTTGCTTTTCACTCAGAAAGCTACATCTCTCAACGCGACTTCTAATGGGAACATTGGGTTAACTGTCCATAGACTGAGCTAACCATTCGATCGCCGGGCACTAATTGTTCTGTGTCGTGTACGGAATCCTGATTTCTTCGCCATAGAAATCCAGGATTTTCAGTGAGAAGTCTTTTACGCTGTTGTTGCTGCCTCCATACAACTAACTGTAGCTACTTTGTTACTCTGTTGCCAAAGTAACACCAAGCACCTTAGCCCAGCTAGCCACCTCACATTGTTAGCTAAGTCTGCTGTCACATTAGTTAGCAACCAGCTAGCCTCCACACTAGCAGCTAATTGTTGCTAATTTCTGCTTTGACTATAAGTCGCTTACCATGGTGCTCTCGAATCTTAACATACCGGCAGATAGCACACCAGCTACACCGCTGCTTGCCCCGCGCCAGCGATAAAACCCCTACCACGGGATTGCGTATGCAGGGCTAAGATATCGGCTATGGATACTCACCTAGTATGTGTGGCCTGTCTAGGCCTGCAGCATGCCCGAGCGGTGCTGGACACACCCGGCTCATGTGAACATTGTAGCTGTTTCACTCTCAAAAGTCTCCACCGTCGGCTGTCACGCAAGGCAAGCCTCGGCACCTGGGACCCACTGCTAGCATCAGCGGCCGCCCCGACGGAGTATGACGAGCCGGCCATTTTGAGCACTAGCTGGGACACTCCCTTGCCCGTGGGATTCGATGATTGCATGCCAGCTGATCATTTCGATTCTCTACTGGGAGATGATGAGGAGTCTGGCAACTCCGACGTCTCGGTCGACATTCTCTTATCTGAGGGGGAGGACGATGATGGTCCCTCTTCCCCCCACTCACCAGAGGCATGGACCTGCATTAAGTGTGCTGGAGGGCGGCTGAGAAGCTGGATATGCCATGGCCCAAGGTGCAGGCGGAGACTTCTGTATCCTGCTATGAAGGGAAAAGGCTGCCAAAAGCCAAGCGGGCAGCTAGGCAGCTTTTACCCATATTCCCTGAGTGCCTGGAGGAGACTGTGTGCTGTTGGGAGAATACCTTTTCTGCTGCTAACCCTGTCCAAGGGGGGTTGACCTTTGATTGTGTGGAAAAAAGGCATTTACCACATGCCTCCAATTGAACCTCTAGAGGCCTCACACCTACACCCCACTCAGAAACTGACAATGTCTTCCTCTGGCCCCACCCTGCCCACCAAGGTTGATCGCTTACAGTCCTCTATGACTGATAGAGCTTATAAATTGGTCGCCACATCGGATAGGGCTCTGAATGCCTCCTCTCTTCCTCTCCTGGCATATCAGGCTGAACTGCAGGAACAGATGACCGCCTTACCAGCATCTGAGTTGTGGGAGGAAATCTGTGTTATTATTGACCACTGCCTCCATATCACCAAGTGCGCTGTCCAATCAGCAGGGAGGGCTATGTCCACCATGATTGCCCAAGAGCGAGCTTAACCTCTCTGATCTGTCTGACAAAGCGTGACATCCTGGATGAGGACGTGGACCCCAACGGGCTGTTTGGCACTGCTGTTGCTACCATGCAAAAGTGACTCCTCGCCGGGCCTTCACTCTAGCTGTGGCTCAGCAGGTCAGTGGCACAGCCTTTA